ACTCTTCCACTTCTACAGATTTCAGGGGGATACGATTTTACAGGTAATATATGCTGCACTTTTATTACATTTTTTTGTATCCTAGAAGAGCACAAACGTTTTCTTCAAGTTCTATAGTAGCCTTTATTGATCTCAGGAGAATTCAAGCCTAGCCACATATTTGCATTACAGTACCACTGATGTACATTTTAATCTGTATAGAGGAATTTCAATTATATTGTTATCTCTTAGATGTTAGATATTGTGGCTTGCTGTTCAACATGTCACTCCAGGCTGCAGAATTGTAAAGTTCAAATAATTCAAGAATAAGACTAGCAAATTACATTCAATTAGAGAATTATAATTAAAAAGATAGAACAATAAATAGACAGAATAAAGATCCTTTTCTGATTTATGAATCAAAATATGTTCCCAAAATAGTAGGCACCTTTATCCAATATAAAAGGGCAAGTAAAAAAAGAACCTAGTTGCAAATCAACCCCCAAATCTCAAACAAATGAGAAAGTAAAATACCAAAAGCAAACGTAACCAATTGACTGATAAAGAAAACATTCATGGAGATTTAAGGAGGTGGAGGTTGTTGTAAAGAACCACCACATCACCCATGCATTATAAATTGCACTGGGGATAGTTGTGTGTGCTTAAAAGCACTGCCCTACAGATTATCAAGTGCCTATTTCTATTTTTATTTAAATACACGGGGTTTTTCATAATATAACTGTATAGACCTACAAAGCATTACAGCATAAGCACTTCTAATTTACATCTACATGTTTTATTTGTTTATTCCGTATGATCTTGTCTCCCTCTAGTGGCTGGCCCTCACAAAAATGTACTTTGACCTGTATGCAGAATCACAGGATAATTCAGGCTGGAAAGGACCCCAGGAGGTCTCTAGTCCTTTCTGATAGCCCTGGTAGAAACATTCATGACCAGCCGTTTGCAATCAAAGTAAAGCCTCAATCCTGAATCCCAGATTCAAAGACCTCCTAAGATAGTCTGGAAAAGAAACGGAAGAGCCAGGAAAATCAAATCACTGGAACTATCTCATTTGGATGTATACCCATCAGAAAGTTTCATCACTTAACAGAGCAGGAGATATATTCCTTTGCATATTGATGCAGAATATGGCTAGCAAGTCGGCTGTCCTCAGTTTCATACATGATCATCATGTGTGGAAGAAACATCTAGAATATATTAATAGTCAAGTGAAACTCAAAAGCTTCATTGTGAAGGGTTTCCTTCTTTACCAGTCACAGACCCTGAGCAAGATTAAGTCTGAGTAAACTTTCCTCTTCCTTCTTCCAGGAAAATGTCTCTCATGAGGACCTTCACTAGCAAGAAGGGATGAGGAGGCACATCTCAGACAGGAACCTCTGACAACTGGAAAACAACCTGCTCACTGCTGCATCACAACTGATCAGCTGCTGCAGAAAACAAGAAGCCATACAAAACTGCAGTAAGATGATTTGGAAAACAAAGTCAGGAAGAGGAGGCTTTACTAGCCTTAATGCCCCAGGAAAGAGTCCTTGAACATGGGGGCTAAAGAGCCATGTCTCGTTCTTAGTAAGAAGTCACAAGGACACAAAAGCTGTTCTGCTGTCAGAATAATTTTCTAACTCTTAAGTTTGGGAGATCTTTAAAAAAAAAAAAAGCAACCAAACTCTTGGACAATTTTCAGATGTACTTCAATAGCTAATAAAAATCAATGCAATATTGAATTGCAGTATCAAGGAAATTACTTTTCCACACAGTAGCGCACAACTATCAACTGTCTTTTCTGTAAAAAATGGTAAATAATCAGAGTACTAGAAGAGAGCATTTCATACCACCATGCACCAAATACTGCTAAGAAAAGGAATATATCTCACAAGTATTTCTGTAGCAAAGGAAAGCAGAAAGTGATGGGTTGCCTTAAAGTCATCCATTTGTATCAAAACCTTGATTCCAGACTATTAGCTAAAGAAGTAACTGAATAATACCTTAAAGAAAATGAACCAGCTTTCATTCTTTTCTTTGTTCTAAACACCGCATCATCTTTCAAAGTCTAATTTCACATTCACAGACTACTCATACAAATAGATCTGAAAACAAAAAGTCAAGTAACAAGCTCTGCTGTAAGAGGATTTTATTTTGAACTATTAGAGCATTTTTACAACTGTAATGTAAATATTTAATTCATCTTGATTCATCTTCATCTTATTACTTGCTTGTTTCAAGTATTGTAAAAGCATACTAGAGTTACTCCCCTCTTTTTTTGGGGGTGGTGATGGATTTTTTAAGCAACAAGAACAGGGTGTGAAAGAATCTATGGAAATTCATATCTGTTTGGAGTAGAATGTTTAGAGTAAGATTACATTTTATAGAAAAAACAAATCAACCTTAAAGTAACACTGAGGTTATGAAGTCAACTGGCATAACCATTCAGTCAGAAGTAACACATCTACCACCATTTGGCAGTTGATCCTATCATCTGAACAACAATAATTTACCATTTAGGCACTCCAAGCTTAGCAATTTGCAGAGCAATTTCAATTACAGAGCCTAAAGAAAAAGTTTTCTTTTGTGCTCTGCATTTGTCTTTGTTGTGAACATGCCAGTACATGATCATTCCCCACCCCCAACAGAGCATCTCTACCAGTTTCAGTGCTTTCTTTGTGGGCACTATTCTATTTTTTCCACTGAATACATGGTTTCACGCTTCATTTACAATATACTTTACAGATTTCTCTCTAAAGGTAAAATATTGTGTCTTACAAACTTTTCAACAATGTTTTTATCAATGAGCCCTGCGGTATGTCCACATCAGTGATTCAGAGCACAGGAGGAGTTCTTTTTGGTGCAAATTTTCCTTGTTCCTACACTTAGCTTGGTGGTAGGCACTCCAGCGCACCACTGTGTTCAAGGTAGCTTCCTTCCTACTGAAGACTGAAGTTGTGTGCCAAGAATTCTTAGGATTGAGAACTGGCGTAAGTGTTACAGCCATTAAAGACGAATGTGAACACACAATTTTGAAACCATAACCATTTGCAGCAAATAGAACAGTCCCTCATTGCAATACCACAGCGAATAATTAACCTCAGTCTTTAGCAAGTATCATGCATGTACCTTCACAATTCTCCAGTAAGACAAAACAGTATAGTTATCTCCACTACAGGAAAGGAACAATGGCATGAGCGTCAGAAAATAAAAATGTTAAAAGAAGAAAGTACTAACAAGAGTTGTATTAATCTTCATTTTTTCAGGACATTAAACATTATATGACATTTTACTGTTAAATACCACAGGTCACTGACTTTAGTTACATGTGTGAAAAATCAGCTGCTTTTTTTTTCACCTCAAGTTTGAAGTTGGTTATCTAGAACTTGAGAAGAATGAAAGTTACATGGAAATAGCAGCCTCCTCGTCAAAAATATAATAACTACAACCCCCTACTTCGTTCACAATATGCTTTCTAACATTTGAAGTTAAACACAGTATCATAAAATTTCATTTATTTCTAGGGCCTATCAAGAGAGATGCTATAGTAGAAAGTCATAACCCTATGATTGAAAACAGGATTAAGGTGCATACATGTCTTCATACATGTGCATGCACCCAGGGTCAAAGCACAAGTAGGTGGAATTGAACCTGTCCATACAATTTTTTTTTAAAACAGAAATAAGAAATGTATATATTTACATTGTTATTGTTTCTGACAGCTTGTTTTTATTCTTTCAATTTCCTTTAAGCACAGGAAACAGCAACTGAAAAGTTTGTATTTTCATGAATTCAACTAGTAATTAATTGGCATTCAACTGCAAAATTTAAGTTATTACCTCTCTTCGAATCTTTTCTTGAAACCTTTGTAAGGGAATACATTTTGGATTTCATTTTTTAACAAAGTAGGTATCTCCTCTTAAATCATATCTAATTTAAGGAGCTAGATTTACAGAGTTTTAGGTACTCATTCAAATCATACCTTCAAATCCCTTTCCTCTTCACAAAAAACCTGCAGACGAGTTGATCTGACTTGAGACACATATACCATAACTCATTGTAGCCAGCAATACTTTTTGTCCTGTATCTTGTATAAATAGCCACATCCCAGAGAACCTAAGCTAACAAGAGACTGTCTACCAAATACTGCATACTGTACTGCTTCATAGTACCCTGCAAAGCTGACATCTCACAATATTAGATGCAAAGTATCACAGTCCAAACAAAACTGACATAACCTCTGAAACATCTGCTCTAACACATACCACAGGCCAGGCAGAGCTGGGTAAGAGAGGAAGCCTGCTTGATTCTACCTAGGCTGTTCAAGGTAAGGAGCAGGTCACAAACCTCCAAAAATTAGCATACATTTTTCATGCTCTCAAAGAGACAGCACAGGTATGTTACACTTTCCTCACTCATGATACTCTCAAAAATATTAGCAAGGGTTAGACCAATGACTAATAGGTCAATAATACTGCCTATTAAACTGAACAGCTTTTTCTCACTATTTTCTTGAACATATTCTTCTGTCTTCACTCACCTCTAGTTTCTTCTTTTATTCTTAGACTGTAAACTTACTAAAGCAAGCTCACCTCACACACAGCTGTCCAATTTTCTTTTTTTTTAATTAACCACCAAAAAAGGCTAACCTTGCCTTTCAGATAGTGCTGATTTGTGGTCACCTACCTGCTTGGTGAATTAATTTATTCACATAGTACCTGCATTCATAAAGGACATCGGTTTCCTAGTGGTTTAGTGGTAAAGTAAAATTTTTCTAGTCCCCATCTACAAAAAGCCTCTTTGTAGCTTGCCCTTTTTCCACATGCTTCAAGAGGATGACCAACAAAATGAATAAAATCATAAGCAAAGAGAGAAAAAAAACTCCACCCTTAAAAGACATTACTGTGTCTTTTGACTAATTATCTACTTTAACAAGCATTTATCCAAATATATAGCACAATGTACACATTACCTACATCCTCACATTCACATATTTAGGTATTTTTAATTTGCTGAATTACCTTGTCTGCATCCACTTTTCCTCTGATAAATTCTTTCTTCCAAAATTCCAGTGCCTGCTCCAGAGTCAAGCCGATGCCTTTTAAGAACAGTCCATACTGCATACGGCCTCCATGACGGAGGTGATGGTTATCACGTAGGGCTTTGTGCAACTGGCGCATGCAAAGAGGGAACGACTTCACAGAAAGCTGTTGAGAGAAAAGTTTATGTTTAAGGCATACTGATAATTTAATTTGTAGGACATATGCTTATTGTGATTATTAATTAGCTCCACTTGAAAATGCCAATGGCTGGAAGAAAAGATATGCATGTGCAGAGAGCCTTGGCACTGATGATAACACAACTGTGTCCATAAACTATCAAATCCAATAACCATCTCAAGAACAAAATCCAAAGGACAGAGTAATACAGGTGATACTAGCAGACTATCTTCAGCTACAAAGTAACACAGGTTTAACTGCTCTCAGGAAAAATATATCCACTGTTCCATTATAATGTTTCCTGCTTCTTCCTTATTTTAGCTTCTGGAATGTCATTCTAAGCTTTGCTGGAGTTTTGGGGGGTTGAGGGAGGGGATGAGTTTTTTTAAACATCTTTGAAAAACTCCAAGCAGGAGTAAAATCCATTGCAATGGATCTGCAGGTTTTTTCCCCGAAGAATACTATTTCTTATAAAGCAAGATTGCAGAGGTAAAAAAATTGTAACATTCAAGTTTACTTGGGCCTTGAATTTTTGTTTTTAACATATGAGTCATGCCATGGAATTCACTACCAAAGGAACACTGTCATGGTTAAGATGGACAGTGAAAGCACAAACAATTTCTGAAGTTGAGATAAAAGAGTTGGAATGTGTTTTCAATTCTCTTTACACCATTGATGTGGTTTTAGAATCCACTTTATTTACTTCTTCATTTTGAAAATCCCTCCTGTAAGTCAAAAGTCCAAAAAAGAGCACTGAAAAGACTAACACTGCAAAGCAATAATCATAAACGAAACATCATGGGTTGCAAAATTATTAAGAAAATTTTGTTAAACTCTGTTTATAATTGTTAGGTATTTGTGAAAGTACACAAAATTAAGCATCAAATTAAGCAATTCATTATAGCTCTAGTCTAAATCCTGATTAGATGCATTTGCAGTTAATTCTGCTCCATTTTAAACTTTATCACAATTTAATTCAAGTAGTTCTCAAGAGTTACAAAGAAAATATGAATCAAAAAAGATAAAGGCTTTACATGTTGTCTGTACATACAGAACTTGAATTTAAGAAGTTACATATCATCATACAATATAACCCAATAAACACAGAGGACTTACAGCATCTATCTGTTCTAGAGAAATTTTTCCAGTGTTCTTTTGCACGCTGTAATCTGGGCCAATGTAAGAATGGCTGAAAAACAAAGTAAACAGTACAGCATCATGTAAACCTGTCAAAAAATATATTTTTTTTAAGTTTACAAATTTAGAAAGAAATTATTTTACCAATTAAGGACTGCAAATACTTTATATCAGGCAAAACCAAGAAAACAGTATTTGACAATTGTGTAAGTAATTAAGATTTATAAAACCAAGATTAGAGTCAACACAGTAAGGAAATCCTCCCTCCTTTTATCTGAAAGGAGTAGTGAGGGGTCATTCAGAATTCAGGTCACAGGATCACGCAACTGTTGAGGTCAAGAGAGACCTCTGAAGATCATCTAGTCCAATCCCCTGCTCAAAACAGAGTTAACTACAGCAGGTTGCTTAGCATGTCAACCAGCTGGATTTTGAGCATCTTCAAGCACAGAAACTTCTGAGCAGCCTGTTCCAGTGTTTGACCACCCTGGCAGTAAAAAAGTTATTTCTTATGTTTAAGTGGAATTTCCTGTATATCCATTTGTGCCCATTGCCTCTTGGCTTATCGCTGGATACCACTGAGAAGAGTCTCACTCTTCTTTACTCCCCCTTATCAGACATCTGTTTATACGCGCTGATAAGATTCACACACACACCCTCCTGAAATTTATCTCTTCCAGACTGAACAATCTCAGTTCTCTCAGCCTCTCCTCATATGTACTGGGGAGCCCAGGATTGGACATGGTCCTCCAGATGTGGCCTCACCAGTGCTGAAGGGACGGATCACCTCCCTCGACCTGTTGGGAGTGGTCTTCCTAATGCCACCCAAGAGACTGGAAGCTTGCTTTGCTTCAGGGGTGCACTAGTGGCTCCTAGTCAGCTTGTTGTCCACCAGGACCCCAAAGTCCTCTTCTGCAATCCTGTTTCACAGGCGTTCAGCCCTCTACCTATGGGGTTATCCCTCACCAGATGCAAGACTTGGTATTTGACTTCACAGGGTTCATCTTCAGCCCATTTCTCCAGCCTGTCCAAGTCCATCTGAAAGGCAGCACACCCATCTGGTGTAAACCATTGCTCCCCGCTTTGTATCATCTGAGACCTACTGAGTGCACACTCTGTTCCATCACCTAGTACATTGAAGAAGCAGCTAAACAATATAGGAGCCAGTATTGATCCTTGAGGTATTCCAGTAGTGACTGGCCTCCAGCTGGTCTGAATCTCAAACCTTTGAGCACAGCACTTCAGCCAGTTTTCAGTCCACCTCACTGTCCATTTACCTAGCCCATACTTCATCAGTTGTCAATGAAGACGTTACAAGAGACAGTGTCAAAAACCTTGCTAAAGTCAAGACAAACAACATCCACTGCTAACCCCCTTTGCCCCCATCCATTGAGCCTTCTATGATAAAATGACCAGTTATGAGATTGGTCAAGCATAATTTCCCTTTCACAAATCCTTGCTGACCACACTCAGGATCACCTTCTTGTCCTTCATATGTCTGGAATTGACATGAGGCTGACCAGCCTATGGATCTTTCTCCTTACTCTTTGTGAAGGCAGGGTTCACTTTTGCTTTTTTCCAGTAATCAAGAACCTCTTCTACTTTGCTACATCTACTGTGAGGGAAGAAGAAAAACTCAAAAACTCTTAAGGGTACCAATAAAAAGATGGGAAGTCTTTAACTGCAGTACTGACATATACAAACACGTATTAACTCCTGTAGCTGACAGTAGCTGTCTAGCCAAAATAGCACAGGACTTTGCATGTGCTGCCTCATCTTTCATTCATACTGCAACAAAGCTACTTCCGGTACTTAAGCTAAATTCAGAAAACCCTACACTACAGCAGAGACAGTCACGTAGACATTGTCACCAAAGTAATTTCAAATCAAATACAACCATCTAATGCCCAGCTTTACTTTTAAATATAAAGGCTTCTTGAATAAGGATATATGCAGGGCTGCAGAATAGGCCAAGAGAAACGCTTACAGGAGAACCCAACCAAACTCAAGATTTGACAGTACCGCAAACAATAAAGCAAACAGGGGCTTTGGATACAAAAATCAGGTTGCAAACTCTGGGTAAGAACAAATTTCTTTGTGCAAGAGGGATTTTGCAAGTAACTTAAAAAGATCATGTCTTAAATCTTCTGAAGGCATATAGACATTAAGTCCAGAAAAAAGGAAGTTAGCTAAATGATGATACTCTGTGCTACAGATTATTTTGTGACATTTCAATACTGTAAAGTGTAAAAAACATATAGCTGGGTTGATTTTACTACAGTACAAATAATTTGTTTAATTACACATGCATTCATTCGTTCCTTAGTCTTATTTTTGACACACACTGGAGCACTAGGCAAGCTTACTGTACTTAACAGATTTTTTTTTTCAATACACAACAATAGATAAATAAAAGTACTTGAACTGTGTATGTCTATTACTACTGATTCTATAAAGAAGGATCTAAATTTCCTTGTAGAATCAGATCTGCATCGCTTTACTTAGGCAAACTACAAACACAACAAAAAACACAGTCCCAAAAATATCATAATTGAAGCACAGAACAACAGAAAACAGCTGTTGCTTATGCAACTTCATTTTATTTTGTAAAAGAATCAGTTAGGAAAATGACCATTCAGTCAGTTGTCACACTGGCGCTTCAGGACATGGTTTAGGGGACATGGTGGTGCTGGATTAATGGTTGGACTTGATGATCTTAAAGGTCCTTTCCAACCTTAGTGATTCTGTGATCCCAGGATGAGTGCTGGTAGCTTCTTACGCTGCTCTCCCATAATCACTTCAGATCATCTGCCTGTACTCTATAATATTCATTAGAGTCATACCAATACTGAAAAAAATTGCTAAGCTAAAGAAAACCACTTCTTCCTAGCATCCATAGAAAGGATTGGCCTGGGAAGAGGAGGTCCAAAGAGAAGACACAGAAGTTTTCCTATACAATAAGCGACCAAAATAAGACTTCTGAAGTTAATGCTAAAGAGGACATACTCTCTGAATCTTGCTGACCATTACGTCTGGACTTGGTAGAAAACTCTACTGCATGGACAGAAAACGCAATGCCTAGGAAGAGGGTGGGAGAGGAGAAGAAGAAATTATGCTTTTCAGACTCTGAAAAGCTCAAATAATCTCAGTATGGTAAGCAAACAGGAAAAGTTTTTCATAAATGTTTCCTTATTTTTACATTAAAAAGCAGCATATGACCTTTGCAAGGTCAAAGTTTCTTGATACCTGATACCACTCACCAAAGAGCTGAACCCTACAAACTGCCTTCAAAGGTGATGCTCTGAAAAAAGAGTATGCCTTATCTATCCAAAATATGTGGTAGATTGGAACTAGCACATAAAGAAGCTGGCACTAGTCATGTGGCCTTTGGCAGCTAAACTGCTGGATTCCTGTCCCAAGGAGCTCAAGGGACCAGAGCTTTTGGGTTTGCAATTTTAGGTGCCAGGTCTTCCGATTTTCTGCAGCAGAGATTCCCCAGGTCCCTTGATTCCATCACAAGAAAATCACACTACTTTCTGCACGGATCGCCATTATTTTATCTACATTTCTATTAAAAAAGTCTGAACAACCTTGGGGGGAGGGGGTGGAAATTAAGACTATCCTTTGCTCTATGAACAGCGGTCTTCATTTTTTCATGTAATTAGATGTTGCCAGACAGCTTCCTACCACTGGTTTGAAACCAAATTACAACACAAGCCAGCCAGGCTTGTCATCACCCTTGCTTTCTTTTCCTATTTTTAAAACTGCTTCCAGTTTTAGCTCTTATTTTGGACTCATCCTTTCTTTTATTCCACATAGCTTCTGAGGTTACTTCCTGATCGAGGTTCTTACCCAGAAACCTCTGTAATTCTTCATAATTTCTTTCTGTGGTTTACTGGAATGCAAGCAGCAATGTCTTCACTTTTCACATAAAACCAGTTTTATTTTACCTCCATATATAAATTCCTGTCTCTCTCCATCCAGCCTAACTCAATCACTCACAACCTGTTTTTCTAATATCCAAAATCTTAGTTACCATAGGTTTTCTAAACTTATCTTGCAACTAAGGATCAATGTATACATTCACATCACTGTTGACCAAGAAGAAACCTCTACTATGTCAATGTTTCCAAGAATGGGATGGCTTCCCATCCCATTCCAAGAATGGCTTTCAATAAACAGCTGTAGGACAGTTCTGATAAATACTGTATCACTCAGATATATGATAATGAGATTTACTATGGTACTTGAGACTTACATGAGTAAGGATATGAAGGGCACTTTGTAAATGTTGAAGATAGTAAAAAAACAGCCATTAAGGTGTGCATTCTTCTTTGATTGCTTGTGAGATGAGCGTAAGTGAGAAAGGTGAACATGTCTGCATGAGTATTTTGTTATCCATTAAAAAAAATCCAGTCTTGCAAAACACTTGGTTTCTGTATCAACCTTATGAGCTATCATTTGAAGACAGGATTAACAGAATCATATAAATGTTGATTGTAAAGGATGTTAGAAGAACATTTAGTACCACACCCCACTTTAAGTGGACTACTGCCAACACTAGTCAGGTGAGCTGCAGCTGAATCCTAAAAATCTCCACGAACCAAGATTCCACATCTCTGGGCAGTCTACTGCACTATCATTCTAGCACAGACATTTTTCCTAAAGTCCAATCTAAACCTCCCAAGCTGCTATATGTGACCACTGTCATTTTTTATACCCTCTGGCACCATCAAGAATTTCAATACCGTGATGTTTCTCATTCAAAGACTTGTAGGCTGTTGATCACCCCTAAGCCTCCTCTTGACCAGACTTGACTAAAGTCAACTCAGCTTCTCCTTATAATTCATGTACAGGCAGACTCCTATAGTAGTTTGATGGGATTACATACGACAGTTTCTGTCTATCTTTGAAATTATTCCTGCTAGTTACAACCCTGTAATTTCATCACAAAACCCATAAAAACTCCTTTGAAAGCAGGAGTTGCAGAACTGTATGCATTTAGTTGCAGAAGTATGCATTTAAACATAAAGTTTCCATTTCTATTAAATTGGTAAAGTTTTAGCAATTTAAATCTCCTTGTAGCCTGCTGTGAGCATATGAATCCCTAGGCACAATGTTTCATCAAATATTTTAACATTTTAACTAAAAATGTTCTCTTTTTTTTTTGGTCTAGTAAAATTAGTATTAGAAAGCACGAATGAAACAGAATAGGACAAAAAGAGGACCTAAGTCACAGATAAAATACATATTCAGTCCAGAACAGTCCAATTACAAAATTCACATTATGTCTGTTTAAAAAAATGGGCATGGATTAAAATATCTATGCAGACATAATCCACAGTAAAATGACCTTTTCTGAGGACTTGCTAACTTAAAAGTCACAAGCAAATATGAATCGCTGCCAAAAATGTGTGGGGCATTAACAACCAAACAATGCTCTGTAACCTTCAATTGTATGCTCTTTTCACACGTTTCTATCTAAGCTTTTCCTCCCCTGATAAAGCTCTATTGACATATGCCAAAAATAAAATACTGCTGCAAGAATTCACACAATGAAGACAGAGAATCACAGATTCACAGAAATCAAAGATGACCTATTTGGTCATCTGTCTGTTCATTGCCAGAGCTTGTTTGTCAAGTTGTAAGGTTTGACGTATTTTATCTATTTTAAAGGAACTTCCAAAAAGGCAACTTGGAAGCATTTCTGTAGTTTTTTCCACTGGTGAAAAACTGTACTGCGAACGGTCTTTCTGTTTTTACAAAAGCAAAATGAAAGTAATTTACCTGTACAAGTTAACATAAGAATGTTCAAAAAATACCTTTTGCATAAATGTAGGATACAGTATCCCTGTCAAAGCAGCTGATGTTAAACTAGCTTTTTGGCAACCTTTCCTTTTCCCATATTTTAAAAAAAAAAACAAAAAACACAGAGAAAAGATTGTGGTTGCTGTGATGCTGAAGGCTGATCCACTTACATGGATCCATAGCATATCAAAAGAAATTTAAAATTTCTCAGTAATTACTATGAGCACAATTTATAAAAAGCTAACCTAATTGCTCTTTACCTTCAAATGGAGAAAGATAAGCCACTGAGGCATATTTTTTAAAATCCCAGTAAGATGTACAGTAATAAAAACATGGAAGGCTAGTGGCATTCAGAAGTATCCTCTAACCGGCTACGTAACAGTCACACTGCAATATTTTTTTCATTCATTGCTCTTGAACAAAATTCAATCATATGTAAATAAGCAGAGATACAATGAACGCTATTTTTCCTATTCTGATTTACACGAAAAGTAATAAAACATAAAACTGTTCCTACGTAATAAAAAACAAGAATTTTTTTTTTTTAATCAAAATAAAATGTCAAGTTTTGGGTACAGATGTCTGAAACAGTAGAGCACCATAGGAAATAAAGAGCATGCTAACTAGATCTGCACCCTAATCCAGGTGTAGTGCTGTCGTGATGGAGCCTCACTGCTTCCACTTCCAATTCATCCAACATCATTTCAGTGCTCTTAATGCAAAGCTGTAGGTGTTCAAAAACAGAGCTTTCACTACTGACATTCAATATTTAAGTAAATTTCTACCCTTAAAGATATTAGAAATTCAACTGAATAAATACCTGAGCAACCCAATCTAACCAGATCTGCATTGAGCAGAGGCTAGATTAAACGATCTCCAGAGGTTCACTCCAAGCTAAATTATTCAATGATTCTAAGCCAATGCATCTCCCTCTAATTGTATGGTCTTTGTCCTCCAGAGTACTACCATAGTAAGAAAACTCTCACAAACAATATATAGTAAAAAGCAATCACGTATACAAGAAAGAGACCAGACCTATACTTAACCTGAAGAAAGTCAGAAAAGTATTTTTAGTTGTTATTCATCTCCAAGCACATTTAAAGAGAGTAGAAAGCTTCTATGTACTATATACTACTAAGAGAGAGGCAGACTATTTCAGCTGTGTTGTAGAGCCCACTTAACAGTTCACATTTTCCGCTCTCGCCTTAGGTCCATTAAAAGAAGAAAATAGGACTCCATTCATCAATGACAGTGACAGAGAAATCTTCCAAAAAGATCATAGAGCATAAAATATTTGCAACAAGGAAGTCCATACTCTCAGCAGTGTAATTTGGAATCTGTTTCGTTCATAACAAAGCTTAACAACTTTGCACTTACTATAAAAAAATGTTTTTATAAAAGCTACAAATATTTTCTTGTTACTTAGAAGCAACACCAGCTCTGTAAGTTATGTTTCATGTCATTTACAAAGCTTTTGTTAAGCTGAGAAGATAATTTCAGAGCTGAGAAGATAATTTCAGGGCTTTTTTTTTTTTTCAGTCAAAGCCAATCACACAAGATGAGGTGTCTGAAAAACAATGTAGCTAAAACATTCCACTAATAAAATTATTTTAATCTGTATGAAAGAATACGCTCAAGCTTTCAGTTTATGCTACCTGAGATGATTAAGCAGCGGTTGTAGTCTCTCATCAGACTGTATGGAAGGCAGTGATCGTGCTGTCAGCTAGAAAAAAAACAGAAGCTTAATTAATAAAATATTAGCTTCAAATAATTGATAGCACAAAGCAGGAAATAACAATTGACCCCGAGTTGCTACAACTTTACACAACATTTGATGAGACATCCTTTCTCCTATTAAAAACACCTAAGCAGAACCTTCCAAAAATCTGAAGTTTGCAGAAATATTTACAAGTTAAGAAAGTCAAACAGTGAAAAACATTTTTTATAAAATTACAGCGTTACTTGAATTACATAGCAAGACACCATTGAAAGTGGTATACTTTTTTCCAAATATATTTGAACTAGAAGTAATATTCTACCTAGACAGCCTTCTAGCAGTCACATAATACAAATATAGTCCATTAAGCCATATTTTATACAGTTTACATTTGTATAGAAAAATTTACAGAACATTTAGCACTATATGACTTTTATATAGACATGCTTCTGAGTGTGTACACTGTTGTTTTTCCAAATGAGCATAACCTGTGTTTTGTAATTTGACTGTTCTAAACTAAATACATACTTTTTTCTTGTAACTGTTTCATATGACTAGTTAAAACATTAAACTTTTTCTGAAAAAAATAAACCTAGTAGTCTATAAATCAACAAGTACACGTCACGCCATTACAGAATAATAGTTCACTGGTGTATTAACTAAAATAATTGGAAAAAATATGTATTAAATTTGCTTAGTATCAATATATAGGTGTCTACCTTCACTTATAGAAGTTAGCAGCATAGCAGTTCTGATACTGCTTGACATGCATCTAACATAACATGCATTTCACGATTCTATTGCTGCCAAGTTAGGCTGTATTTTGAAAACTACCTTCATACAAATTTAAAATTTCAACATATTTCACACTGTATAAATCACAAGTTCTTAATTATTTTACAGGTAACAAAATAGCATGCATACAGTTATACATACTCTAAAAATCTTATTCTTAATAAAAACAGCACAAAAACCTTTTAGAACCATGGATGTAACTTAACCTTGCTGGCTCCAACACACAAGTAAAGGCAACCACTGAAGTAGGACTAACTAGCAGGCTGCAACTTCTATTTATAAATACACAAATAAATATACCCCAGAAGAAGCTGCACTCAGTGTTTGGGTACAGAGGGTTATTTGTAACTGTAAGAAACTCCACACCAAACCCCATCGGCTCATAGGTAGCCCGTGTGAATATGGAGGAGTTCAATACTTTCCTGAAAGATCGCCCGTTCATTGCACTCATTTCATAACCTTTGCTGCCAGGCAGGAGTCAGACTGGGGCCAAATTTTAAATTCACGCCTCAAGCTAGCGATACCAACCACCAGCTAAGCGAGAGGAGGTTCAAAACAGCTAGTCTGTCAAGTGAAAGTTGAAAACACTGAGCACAAGGACAGCGAGGAAGGAGGAAGGGGCCATTTCGGCTGTTAAACCAGTCCTGGCCTGCAGCAACCACCGCTTCAAAGCGCAGCTCTTCTCAGGCTGGGATAACCCAAGTGTACTCATCTGATCCGACTGCTGCGGCAAAGGTAAGGCCCGCAGTCTCAGCAATCCCTCTTTCTTTAAAAGAAGGCCAGTATCTTGGCAATTAAAGCATTATCCACATTCCCTTATTTCATGGAGCTAAACCGAGATGCATATGGTATACTAAAGTTGATTAAGCTCTGTACTAATTCAGAAGTTTCTTTCGATAAAAAACTAATTTTCTTACCGCTGAGTATTAAAGGCCAATACACATATTGTTCTATATTCATGTCCTCTATTAAAGTAACTCTCTTAAACACAAACAGAAAACCAGAAATTATTTCTGAAAAGAACTTGGAAGCCCTCCAAATACCAGCCAAATTATACCACTTGGCTAAAATCAGAACAGAACCTGAATTACCTGAAATACCAGGTATTTCTATTAGTGATGTAACTGATACAGAAAACAGTATTTGTGTGCCCATTCACATACATATGTATATTTTTACAAGACAATCACACAGTATTTTTCTTTATGCAGTACTTAAATATAACATTTAACCAGAAAAAAAACTACTTTTTTCCTCATTATAAGCAACACATTTATAACAAGACAATGTTTAAGAAAGTCAAAGTGGACAGTGGTATAAGAAGCAAAAAACAGTAAAATCCAAAATGTGCAAAAGTATTGACATTACTGTCAAAGTTATATATACATTAAACCATATTGTTGTGTAAACATTATCAATTAACAGAAATGCTGTTTTAAAACTAATCTGGGAGACTTGTAGGGATTGAGGTAGAACAAAGAACTAGTAACCTTGGTGTTAACCAAGTGTTTTCTTGATGTCACATTGAAAGAATATGGAAGAAGTGGCCTATGCTGGCTGTTTCGGGAACCGTCATTAAAGGGGAAAAAACATAATCCCTTGAAGCCACAGTAGAAACCACATGGCCATTGTTTCTTAATCTTTTTTCTTACTGTCTTGTGTTCTACCAACAATTATGGAATCTGCAAATTTTATGAACAAAATGAATCCCCATTTTCCTCCATTATGTTGCCTGGAAGGATAAGATAAAGTTCTCTACAGAATATGCTCTTGTGAAAATGAGATCATCCACCTTTCAACCCTTACAACAAACACTTTGTTAGGTTAGTTCAAATGTTTATTTTCAGGAAGATGTGGGATCCTCATGACACTGTTCTATCTAAAACTAAGATTAGTTCTCCGTAAACACAGTTGAGGAGACCTCAACACAGTTGAGAAGAGCCCATCAAAATATCTGAGCAATTTTAATTGAAAGAGTAAGTTTTCCTTTAGCTTACCTGGATTATAAAAATAAAAGGCAAAATATTAATGTGTAAAGTCTTTCCTCACAACTGTATTTTTTCTAACTGAGCGACACTGTAAATAAAATGAGCTTTTACAAAAGTGATGATAAATTAATGCTAATGTTTTTAGAAAGCTAAGAATTTTATGCTCTTCTTCAGCAGTATTTTTCTGAAAGAAAAAGGTAATCCCAATTACAGAATCCAAACTGAGATTCTGCAGACTTTTCCCCATCACTGTGAAATGAAATTTAGACAAATTCCTGCAAGCACAACCTTGCCTTCATCTCTATATGGTACTCAACACAAAGATCATCTTACCAGGAAAAAAAAGCAAAAACGTTCTAGTCAATACTTTAGGTACACAAAAGACATCAAAATGTTGACAGGTAAGGAACATAGCTCCAAACTCTAATCATGCTGAAGCAGTTTAATTTACAGAGAACATAAAACACTGAAGACTTAAGATATTTCCAGTCCCAAGGCCTGGATGATGAAAGGAGCGGGCAGAGTGAGTGGCAGACAGAAGATGCAGACACCTCAGAGTTGAGCCGAGATGGTGAAAGCTGGGGTGAGTGATGTAGATCATTAAGGCAAAATAAGCACCATGTTATCAATATTACACAACATTTAAAATTTAGAAAGGAAGAAGAATACTTAACAATATGAGGAAAAGGAATGAGTAAACTGAAAGCTGAGATGACAGCTTTTTGATGAGTGTCAGTCCAACTTCATACTAGCTTTAGTACCAGAGTCACCAGCTGTCTTTGCTGTAATTCAGATTGCCAACAAAAACAAAACAAAGCATAAGCATTGGAGGGAAAAAAACAAACCAGAATCTTCATATATTTGAAGTAATCAGAATTTCCAAAAGCAAGCTTTCTAAAGTTTTGACAAAATTCAGTAATATTTTTATGCAATCTTTTAGAAGAGCAAGAAGCTGAGTCCTTTTCTATTGAGCTCTATGCAACAATCACATCTCCAGTATCCACTATACTGCATTTGTGCCAAATAAACAGGACATTTTCATATGGCATGAAGAGGGTAACAATTTGAGAACGTAGAAAGCATGTGATTGAAAAACTACATGAACGTTAGAACTATTTAAGATTTGGCAGTGGTACTTCAAGCAATAATGAAGGTAAAAGGATGACAACTTATAGGTTGATGTCTAAGAATTAGTTTGTTTTTTTCCTGCCATCCAAACATGAGACCAGCACATGAAATGGCAAGTTATTGAAGATTTGCTATAAATGTTTTAAAAAAAGTTAACTTGACACAAAGCCTGAAGTTAAGTAGCAGCTCCACATGCTATCAGGAAGGCAATGACATTTTTATACACGGCAATTAAGAACAAGATTATCATGGCTCAATTAACTTGTATCAATTTTTTAGGAGTACATTAATTTCTTGATTTTGAGGTTATCATGTGAGAGTTATTTGCTCTCTAGGTGTTTTTCTGCACAAAAAAGGTAAGAGAATTTTTATTTTCACAAAGAGTTCACTTTCTAAATGAGCTGTTTTAATTAGCTGTAGCGCACAAGAAAATTTTAATATGCTGTCAGACCATTTGATGAATACATTTTTTTTTTAAATTACACTAAGTTGGATGTCATTGAAAAAAAATACATGGAAGGCTTAGGAGGAAAGCACAGCATGAAGGGTTTTGGGACAAAGGTTACTTTTATCTGAGGCAGGTTACTGAATTACTACAGGCTCTTTCTACAATTCACGGGTTAAAAAAAAATGTTCCTTTAGGAGGGTGCATTACAGAACCTAAAATGTAAATTATTACCAAGACTATTTCCTTATCAACTGCTAAGTACTCCTAGAACAACAAGTAGTGTCTGAAGGCATGCTGTCCACATGCATCTCCACAGGCTTGTGATTTGCCTCTACACCATTTGTCAAGCTCAACTTTGTTTTTTTTTTTAATATCCTAGAATTATCTGTGCTGGCATTCATGGTGCGAAGGACACACACAAACGGTGTGAAGGAACAGCTCTAATCCAAATGCAAAGATGAAATAAGGTTAAAGCAAGGATTGATCAGTCAGTCTGCCGGTCGTGAACATCACTTGTGGTTTTTTCCTTCCCCCCCCATCTTTGCTTAATAAGCTGTGTTTACTTCTGTCCATGAGTTTTCTCATTTTTGCCCTTCCTGAATCTCTCACCCATCCCTCAGTGAGGGGCCGGGTGGGGGGGGTGTCTT